CAAGAGAGACATGTTAAAAAAAAAACGTAAGAGCTGGTGTGAAGGGACTCCCACTGGCCAAAGTCAGAACAATATAAAAATCAGAATAAATAATATAACCTGTTGAATAAAATAAGAAACAATGAACCCATACTGATACTAACAAATAAATGAATAAATATAAAGTTTGGTGGGGAACAGGATATTTTTACATAGTTTTATAGTATCTCCTCACAAAATACTTATTTATGGCAAAGGGAAAAAGAGCAACTGCACAGTGGAATAGCCTGGCACACACCACCTATCAAATGATCAAAGTGATCATCAATAATAGGACAAATTGAAATTGTGTCATCAAAAGAAAATGAGATGGGCCAAGTGCGGTGGCTCACGCCTGTAATCTTAGCACTCTGGGAGGCTGAAGCAGGAGGATCACTCAAGGTCAGGAGTTTGAGACCAGCCTGAGCAAGAGTGAGATCCCGTCTCTACTAAAAATAGAAAGAAATGATCTGGACAACTAAAAATATATAGAAAAATTTAGCCGGGCATGGTGGCGCATGCCTGTAGTCCCAGCTACTCGGGAGGCTGAGGCAGAAGGATTGCTTACGCAAAGGAGTTTGAGGTTGCTGTGAGCTAGGCTGATGCCACGGCACTCTAGCCCGGACAACAAAGCAAGACTGTCTCCAAAAAAAAGAGTAAATGATATGGATACAGCACTTCTGTGACATTCCTGCCATGGATATAAAACCCGAATGTAATCATGAGGAAATATCAGACAAACTCCTCAAGTGAGGGATATTCTTCAAAATAACTAACCTCTAATCTCTACATGTGGCAAGGTCAAGAAAGTCAAGGATGAATGAAAAACTTTTTCAGATTGAAGGAGATTAAAAAAACAAGACAATCAAATGCAATGCATGATTCTGAACTGGATCGTTTTGATAGTCTAAAGAAGCGGTCCCCAACCTTTTTGGCACCAAGGCCCATTTCATGGAAGACAATTTTTCCAGGGGGAGAGTGAGGGTAAAAGGTAGAGATCAGGCGGTGATGCGAGCGATGGGGAGCAGCTGTAAACACAGATGAAACTTCACTTCCTCACCCATCGCTCACCTCCTGCTATGCACCCCTCCACTTTCCGAACTTTCATGGAAGACAATTTTTCCTGGGGTGGGCGGAATGTAGCAGAGCTCTGTGGCCTGGTTCCTAACATGCCGCAACCGGTACACAGACTGGGGATTGGGGACCGCAGGCCTAAAACACACCTCTGGGACATCTGGCACAATCTAAATGGTAGCTGAAGATTAGATGATATCAATGTTTATTTCCTCATTTTGATGTTTGTATTGTAGCTATATAAGAAATACCCTTGCTTGAAGGAAGTGGACACTAAAGTATTTGGGGATGATAGAGTATTAGGTTGGCAACTTACTCTCAAATGGTTCAGGGAAAAAAAGTTCTTTGTAATGTAATTGCAACATTTCTGCAAATTTGAGATTGTTCCAAACAAAGAATTAATATAAGCAAGAAAACAAGAAAAAAAAATATGAGTGAATTCTTTCTTAGCCTCTGAGTGGTGAAAACATTCCTCTAAGTGACCAAAAAAAAGATCAATAACCTAGCTATAGAAAAAAGTATACCTAGGAAAAATAAACACCAGAAATTAGGCTAAAAGACAAATGAAAAATTGAGGAAGAAATATTTGCAGCTTATTTCACAAACTAAGGACTAATAATCCAAG